GGGAAAAGTCACTCGGGGCCATTTCGTAAGCTCGAAGAGATTATAGCGATTGAGCAACGCAAAATAGGATAGGTTATGGCAGGTTACAAGACCCGGCGAGTCCCGTTGGCTCGTCCTCGACATTTCTCCGGTACAGAGCCTCTCGATAATCGGTTTCCTCCTAACCCACTGACGCCCTGGGCCGCCATCTTGGATCGGGCTAAGCAACCTTGAAGTCCCTGATTTCATGGAAAATACATAAAATCTATTACGAAACCAGGGTCGATTTGGGAGTCAAACGAGCCGGTTTTTGGTAGCGAGTCGAAATTTGAACTTTGGAAGCCGAAGGCGCCGTTTGAAAGCCGTTTGATTGGATTTCGAGTGGGAGTCCTGGAAGCTCTCGAGCCGGCCCTGCGAAAGGCGACTCTCGGTGAAAGTGATAAGGAACAAGGTCGGCGGGTTATACCATCGACGTGATTACAAAATCGGGATTCCTCAAAAGCCCTGATCGGCTGGATGAAGTATACCAAAAATTAGTATAATACGGCGGGAATATCGTAAATAAATTACACCTGAATTCGAGATACACCTCAGCATCTTCAAGGGCCTCTCCGGAGTTGGTTCGGATTTCTGCATCCTTTCTTCATGGCGGGGTCTGAAAAGAAAAATTAATCCACGAATGTCAAAAGTCTCAAAAGGAAAACCACCGTCTCGAGAGGCCTCGAGGGCGGTGAAAGTACGAAATGATTTTGACTTTCGAAATTCGGGAAAATCGAGAGGTCTTGCCTGGATTTCCAGGACGCCGAACGAGCGTCATGGCTGCTTTCCAATACCGGCAAGCATCACAATCAGGAGTCGGTACTCGCATCGGCACCGACAAAATCGAGTCGTCGATTTAGAAAGGTGGATTCTCAAATTCGGGTCGACGGATCAGGGCGGCGACTTTCTTCGACTCGATTTCTTCTGCGGCTTTTCTCTCCGAGTCTTTAGACCGGATTCTAACGTCCCGCCTCGTGGCAAGGTACGAGTCGGTTAAATTGAAATAAAAAATCTTGCTGTCAGAATAATTCATCGGTTAATGTACAAAATCCGTCAGTTAGGGCAAGAAATATGTAATCAAGAAATTGTATCGAAACACTGAATTGTTCGATCTAGTGGAGAACGCGATCCGCAATTTTGGTACCAGTGGCAGCAATAGGAAATCATTATAAAAATAAAATATATGTAATCAAGAAATTCTATCGAAACACTGAATTATTCGATCTAGTGGAGAACGCGAGCCGCCATTTTGGTACCCGTGGCGGCAGGAGAAAATGATTATAAAAATAAAAAATCTGTAATCAAGAAATTCGATCGAAACACTGAATTGTTCGATCTAGTGGAGAACGCGAGCCGACATTTTGGTACCAGCACGGCAACTCAGCCCCAGTGGAAAGTTCACTGTCGTCGGTCACGTGCACCAACTGGCCGTACAAGTAGCGTTTCGAAATACGAGATGCGCATGATTATGCCCGCCTACTTAACGTGCATCGAGAATGCACCGAGAATGCATCGGGTCGCATCTCGCTACCGGCAAGCCCCTCGAAGCGGCTCTTCTTTCCCGGACTTCGAGGTCGGCCTGGCGGTCTCTGCCTTTCCATTTTTTTTTGTACCCCATCTACAAAGGCCATTCTCGGCTTCGCGGAGATACTCACCAGGAATACCAGAAAAGGCCATTAAGTCGATTTGCTTCTTTCCTCGATTTCCCCCAATTCGGCAGTTATTTCAGGTTCTCTTCAAGAACGCGACCGATTTGAAGATCGCCGTTTCCCTCTCCGATTCGGCTCCAATTTGTAGCCTCTTTTTCAGGGCCTCACGAGTCCGCACCACTAGGTAGGGGACGTGAAATTGGGAGAACTCTTCAGGGTGATAATTAAGAAAGGAAGTAGCGATTTGGAGCAGAGGAGTGGAAATGCCGAGACAGAAGTCAAGAGAAGAAGAAGAAGAACTCAAGAGCATCCTGGCGGCGAACTAGAGGCTGGACATTGACCCAAGGCTCGGTCAAGGTGAAAACCACGTTCATCAAGGTGTCTCTTGTCATACTAATGGACTTCTTCGGCTACGTGGCTGGAATCGAGTCGAGTGCCTCCATTGGAGAACAATGGGCTGGAGACTGACCCATTTCGAGTGCGATCGCTCCGTGGGAAATATACTGGGCTCTGGTCGCAGTCAATGACTGCCTGACTTCCTCAGCATCTCCAAAAAAGGCTAACTTATGTAGCAGGCGAAATAAGACGAATCTACTATTAACGAGTCTATATTTTCCCTGGATTCACAGACAATTAATTGGCTTATTGTTTAAAATTATATCCATAGGCCTTAAGGAAACGTATTGAAATCTGTCCAACTGTTCGCATCTATGGTTCTCGGTGATCAAGTGCCGTTCCTGTTCACTATTCGTAGTCGTACCAGCTGCTTAGGCAATGATCACGTCTTCTCACCCGTGATCCCTGGATCAGGGCCGTCCATGGACCTCCGATCGTTTTGCCTTTGTCCCTTTCGGAATATTTCCTTCCCTTACAAAAATAATAATAAGCCGGGTAGTTCCACCTCTTCCATCTTTTGGAAGACTCCGGAGTCGCAGAGTTCTTCACTCGCCTCTTCAGCGAAGCTAGTTCCCGAGTAACGACTTCTGTTCTCCTCTTCAGGGTCGAGAGCTGCATCTGAAGTCAGAGAACGCCTTGTCCCGGTCACTCGAGATGGTCAGCTCTGCTCTTCGTGTAAATCTTCATGGTAGGTGTCATCCTCCACGCGGACCTCGAGACAAAGGAGGCGCCGAGCCGGAGAAGACGCAGAGGAGGCTGAAGAGGCAGAAGAGGTGTAGGTCAGTGTGCTGAAGATGGCGCCTGCCAGTCGAGGCATCTTAAAGGCCGGCTCGCAACTGACATTTATGGCGCGATCTTCTAGGCCCAGCTGCAGCCAACTGGTTTCGCCAACTCGTGTCTCCGGCAGGATGATTGCGTGTTGCAACTCTTCGGCGTCGCGCTAACTTCGTGTAACCACCTCTTCGCCAGACAATTCGGCTCTGCTCGCCTCTTCAACCAAGAATTGCCTCCCCTTTTTCTTTTTTTCACCCACTTTGTCGCATTTTAGCATATCTTGCATATCTCCGGAAAAAAATGCGACGAGTCATCGGAAAGCACGTCATTCTCGAGAAACCTGCAATGTTAATAATAAAAAAAAAGCCATAATTGTATCATACATTCATTCCAAATTTCACTCAGGTATAATATACTAATTTCAGGAAATCCTGTAAAATCATTTCAAATTTAATACACTAGTGTATTATTCATTCTGCTCGGTTTCACGAAATTATATGACGAAGATGACTATGAGATTATCAATTCGTTTTGAAATTTGGGATAAATGTACACCTTCATTTTCTTTTTTTTTTCAATGTCCTCGAATTTGTCGTTCTCCTGCAATCTTATGTACTGAAAGTGTATACATTTGGATTCTTTTGAAATGGTAATTTACGTCCCGGATGTACAGGGTTCGGGCACTCGCGATGCCGACGGCGTGCCTTCTGGGAACGTCCAGAAGGTCCAGAACGGGACGTGACTTCAGCGTTTCCTGGACTCAAGGCTCTTCTAGGACCTCTTCTAAGGTTCGTTCCTTCGACCAGCGTTGTGCCATCTCAGGGACGACGAATATCTCGGGGACGAGAACTGGTTTCTTCGGGTTCTCCAGGGTTCGGTGAAGGTGCGATGGCATCTCCCGGCTTCAAGGACTCGCCTGGATCCTGGCTTCGGAAATGCCATTTATACCATCCTTATAAATCCCGAGGCCGTGCCCCAAGACAGTTCTGCACTTTGCGAACCTCTTTTTCCAGTTTGGGAATTTATTCCACAATTTAAAACCCGCGGGTGAAGAACTTGCCAGCGCCCTTTTGAAAAAAAAAAAAAATAAAAGTAATCTACATCCTTCAAAGGCATCCGCCCTCGACGACATTAATATCAACAATTACTGTACGCTCATGAATTTCGCTCTTCAGCAACTATGAAGCCTTCGTGAATGCCTTTCAATTAATTGCCAAATAAACTGAACTTATGTACGGAATGGGGAATAATTCAATGTAAAATATCCCGCCGTGGACGTGGCTTTAGGTCGCCCTCTGCAGAATTGGAGGCGTTAAGGCGAAGTTGTAAATCACGTAGGAAACTCCGAAAGGACGTTCTCCCAGAGCTTGGAGCCATTTGCAAAGCGTAGTTCTCGGCTCCTAATTCAACCCGGCGGGGAGACTAGCCTCTTCTTTCTTTTCTTCTGTTTGGAGCTCCACCTTCAACCTTTCTCTTCTGGTGCCTCCTCGGCCTCTTCTGCCGGGCACGATGCGTCGTCTTTTTTTTTCAATCTCGTTGCGGACTGGTTGCGCCAGAACTCGCTTCTTCACGGTGTTTACGATCGTGAAACCCCTCACGAAATGGCGCCGCGAAAGAAGAAAAGACTCCGCGTAAAGCCCTGCAAAATGGCGGGAAGATTTCGGGAGATACCACTCCACAGCCCGATTTCTCTCGCGAGGAAATCTCCTATCTCCACGTTTCACGAGCGAGACTTCTAAGCGAGTAACCTTTCCCTGGCCCGAGATTGCCTGGAAACGTGAAATGGCGACAACAATCGGTAGCCCCGAAGAGGAAGCGCCCTCCGTGTCTGGCGAACGTATCATCAGGTTGCGTAACCTCTAGGAGTCGCCGAAGCGAGAGGCGAGGAGACGAAGAGGTGAATTTCGCGTATTTCAAAATTCTAAAGCCCCGGAGGAGTCACGAGGAAGGATCTATTCGCCCGAGGGATCGCTTCTTGAAACTCCTCCATGGAGGTAGAATTCTCCTTCTGGTCGAGGTAGTTCCCTAGGTGGCCCTCGAGAAGGTGGCAGCACCGTCCGGAAGGTGAAAGTCGTAAAGGCGAAAGAATGGGAAGGAGTGGTGGTGCACATATAGAGGGGCGAGAGGGCGCGGCTTGTCCAGACGCTTTCTGTCCTGCCGACGACGACGACCATGTCGCCGAAGTTGGTTTTCATCTTAGCGTCCTTTGCTCTCCTGCTAGGTAAGTACATATTAAATATCGCCTCGCAATTAGCGCCTCGATCCCCCGGAAAAAGAATAAGGAAAAGAAATGGAAAACAGCTCAAATAAACGCGGAGACTGCCGCGCGACATGTCTTGTGCAGCTCCGGGCGTTGAAGTCTCCGGAGTCTCCGCGCGAGCCCACGTGGGCTGTTCGCCCTTTGACGTCCCAATTTCGTTCCAAAAATGATCTACACAATTTTACCCTCATTTCCAATCCCTCCACCGTTTCCCTTTACTTACTAACGTGATTTGAAAGTCGCTGGAAATTAAATCCCACGAAAATCGAACCCGTGTCTCCGAAAGACCCGTATTTGACCTCTTGTTAATACCGAGTTTGATCGACACGTCTGCGTTTCGTTGGCTAGGAGAATATTAATGACTAAACGGTATATAGAAAATCAGGGTGTCAGTGAACCGCGTACATTTACGTCGACGCATGCCCGGTTATTAATAAATCTGCCGTTCTTTCTGGTGGCCATAAGCAGCAACCGGAAGCACGGCGGAAGTCGGCGCGCCAGTTGAGATCGATCGGCTCCGATCGATCGAGAGACGATCGAGTGACGTTGCACCCCGGAAGAACGAGTCCGGTACCGGTCACAGCCATATCGGGCGACACAAAAGGAGAACAAAGAACTTGCCGATTATCTTGCTACCGGTGCGCCGCGTCGCGACTACGGCCTAGAAATAAACGGCGTAAAAGAAACCCTGAAAAACCTAGCACAAACGAGCTAGAAAAGGAAACTCCGAACGAACAGTATCGATTCCCTCTCGCCAATTACAAGGGTCGTTTCCAAGCAATCCCTGAACTTGCAAACCCGCCCGGGACGTTCCGCCATTACCTCTCTTCCGTTTAAAAAGTAATCTCGAAAATAACCGCTACATTTACCACCTATAGTTACTCTGGGCACCTGCACGCGCCTTCCACATTTAAAATTACCCTTTGTAAGACTGAATAAAAGCGGCAACATTTTCCTGGAAAACGCACGAGTGAACGGGGAGGCCGCTTCGCGAAATTTCGATCGGCAATGTCCTTGCACGCACGCTCGGGCATGCGCAGAGGAAGAAATCGGAATGGAAAGGATCGAGGAGAACCTACTTTGGAGAACCACTGTCACTTTCCCCCCGTCGCCCTGACATTTCCAAGACTTTCTACTCTGACGAGAGTTCGGTGACCCTCGGCAGCCACCGCGCTCGGTGCCGCGATCGGTTCTCGCTTCGTAAAAAATCGCCCTTAAGTCCCCTTTCGAATTTTTCAATTTTTTGTTTTATTTTTCCCCTAGAACGAAATCCTATAAACTATTCCGCATCTATCTTCCAGGAGCGGTAACGGCGCAGGATGACGACGGCTCCGATGGGCTGGAAGCAAATGCCGAAGAGCTCTGCCAAGACCGGCCGGGTGACGAGTACTTCCGGTTGAACACGGAAGGTGACTGCCGCGACGTTGTGAGGTAACCTTAAGCTCTGCCGGATTTTCCCTGTGGAAGAAGAAAGAGAATCTTTATTTTGCCTCTTTTCGTTCTGCATTGATCAGCGACGTGCGTCATGGGTTAATTTTAACCCAGGTCGGCGCGACGAAGAGGTCGGCGTCGTCTCGATTCTGCAATGCAATCGCGATTAATCGGTAATGTCAGTGTCGTCACGGATAGTTTCCAAGGTCCTAGTGGCCGACGACCGACTTCGATCTCTAAGGATTAACGGTGAATCGCGTCGGGATTTCCTGCAGCGATCGCGGGTCGCTCTTTCCCGGAGTTCAAGGCGATCTGCTCTAAACAACGGGCCCGCCTCTATGGAAATGAGTCACGGATCGCGAGTTTCGATGGGCTCAAGGACTACGAGTTTCTCGAGACACGCGCGAGATCGGAGAGAAATACGGCTTGAAGCGTCTCGGCTGGTTAGGAATTTTTTCAAAGCCTCAGACGCGCAGACGGAGTAAAACATGGGTTACAGCTTTTTTACATTGTCTGGGGGCGTAAGAAAAATGTCTTGGCAAGAAACTCGAGGATGAGTCCCGCGCCAAGTGGACTCACTTGGGCGACCGAGTCTCTTTACCTGAATCGTGGGGGGAAATGCTCTCAGGGCGTTCGCGGGGTATTTTAGGGATTTTAGGGTTGCCTGGGAAGGCTATAATGTGGATTTAACCTGGCGCAAGCTAACGTAACCCAATCCATACAGGTGCGACAAAGCCACCGAGATCGGAGTGACGCGGCTCGCGACCGTAAGGTGTCCGACCGGTCTCGCCTTCGACATCGAACGGCAGACCTGCGACTGGAAGACCAACGTGAAGAACTGCGACCAGCTCGAGAGTAAGCCCTGCCCCAACCTCGCTAATTCTCACCTGCGCCTCCCTTCTCTTCCCCCAGGTGTACAAGGTCCGGCCTGAAGAAAATCACCTGTCCCAGCGGCTTGGCCTTTGATTTGGACAAACAGACCTGCGACTGGAAGGGCAAGGTCACCAACTGTGACAAGCTCGAGAGTAAGTCACGACCGGCAGGACTTCAGGGATGGTCCCGGGACCCCGGGACCTCGGGGGAGGTCTTCGGGGTCGCTGGACCTCCTAGGAGCCTGGCAAGGTCGAGGAGGACCCAAAGCCATCGTAGACTCGCGCCGTAGCACGCACCGCGACCACTAACCCTCCTCGTCGTCATCACTTCTCTAACCCTTTTCTCTAACCCGAGCCTCTCGGATACCTCCTCTAAATTCCAGTCTTCGAGAGTTCCAAAGTGTCACCGAACGACCAATCGAGCATCGTCGCTTCCGGGCGATGGATCTACCTAACAGAGTGAACGCAACCAACGAAGGTCCGCTTTCAAGCGGCGAAGATCATCCACCAGGTGGTCGCTCTTCGGGAGGTATTCGAGTCGTCCCTTGACCCCATCACCCGATAGATGAAAGTCCGAGTTTTAACGCGACTTCCCCTACATTCTCCCCACTTCTCACAGTAATTAATTATAACTTTTCCCCGCGCTTAACGCTAACACCCAAGTCGGTCATCAACGGTAACGCTTTGGTCCCCGATTGATTAGAGGTAGAAGTCTAACGATAGATTGCACGACCGCCTCGGGGCTGGGAACTAGATCTGCATGGGATCTGACGCAACTAGGGGTGCAGATGCAGCTGCAACATCTAGATTCGTAACTTCCTAATTCCTCCACGTGATATCTCTCGGTCCATCACTCTTCTGGCTCTCCGACGTCACTCGATGACAAGTACAGCCGACGCGATTCTCTGTTTCTTTCTTCACGCCGTGCGACCAATTTCACCGATGGCCTCTTGTCGCGCCGATTTCCCGTGCTTCATCTCGCTTAAATTACTCGTTATCACTTAATCAACGTCGCCGGTGAAATCGGTCGTCGATCCGCTCGAGCGGCGCTCTTTTTCCGAGCGTCTCGCTCTCGTTCCCACATTTGTTCGGTGAAATTCAAAGCCGGCGTACTCTTGCAGGTCCTCTCCGTGTTTCTTCACTCGTTCTCTACTCTCTCTCCTACTAATATTCGCTCTACTCGCTCGACCACAGTCAATGGACCATATGAGACTTCCACGACAATTAGCATCAGGGCGCACTAAAGCGCCCGCATTAATCCGTGGTTAATTCTTCAGTTTCGGCTTCGGAGTTAATCCCCGATTAAGGGGACGTGAAAGTGGCATCCGAGGAGTCAATCTTTCGTGAAACTTTTCTCCTTAAGGGGTGTACCGAGTGGTTTCAAACTTTACAACGCGAATACGAAGGATATAAGGAAGGTCCTGACACTAATGAAAATACAATTTTTCTTTTTAATTTGTTTATAGATATTTTAAATATTTCGTATAATAACTAAAATTGCATGGGTGTAGGAACCATCCTTATAGCCTTTGCATTCACTTTGTATATTCGGTAAATTCAATTCGAAGAAAAGTTTCATAAATGACTGACTCCTCGGATGCCGCTTTCAGGTCCCCTTAACGGCGGAATATCTCAGTTCCTCGTGACATACCTGGAAGAAATTTGGAACTTTCAGTGAGCAGCCTAGAGATAATAAAGGTTAAAAAAAGGAGGAAAAATCGGGTATAAGAAACGGAACAATTCACGCTATTTCCAAGTTCTCTGCCATCGGTGTCCAGAACTCCGCCCCCCAAAAAAAAGAAATAAAAAAAAATATATAAGTAAACGAGCTCGTCCTCGGGCGAGAGAGTGGGCCCTTCATTCAACTTCTGTACTCTTTCTCTTCACTTTCCGTCTCTCGCTGATGTTACTCATTCGCGACGTCGAGGTACGTCAAAACCGACGATCGGCGACCCTGACGAGCAGGTGATCGTACCTCGAGGTCCGCGTAAATTTAACAACAACGGGCGCGTGCGTCGTCGTGAGCCCACGAAGTACCCACGACAGAAAAAGAAAAAGAAAAAGGAAAAAAAAAAAGAGAACCCCCGATAAACCTCGACGAGGACGCCGACGAAGACCTTGAAATTTCCCCTCCGGCGACACGTAGTATCCTGATTGTCAATGAGAAAGAGCTACGTGTCCCACCTCGATTGACGATGACGGACTTTCGGTGCAGCTCCCCAACCCAAGAGCCGAGTCGCTAACAGTGTACAGTATATTCGCATCCCTGAATCGAAGGTGTAAATAGACTAGAAGTAAATGCCGGGCAGAGGCTATTTGTAATTCGGGCCTTGGACACACCTGGGTGGTCTCCGCTTTTGAGGGAAGATCCCGTTTACGAAGGCACCGGTGAACAATTTTCAGAGCCCCGCAAGGTCCTCCCGATCCTGAAGACCGACGAGCCGGTGTGCCCGGAGGGCAAGCTCTCCTGCGGTAACGGGGAGTGCGTAGACAAGGAGCTCTTCTGCAACGGCAAGCCCGACTGCAAGGACGAGTCCGACGAGAATGCCTGCAGTGAGTAGCGCCACCGAGTCCCAACCTGGGGGACAAATTAAGGAGATCACTAACCACCATGAGTCTCACTCCTAGAGCATGGCTTAACCAGAAATGTTATACCTTATTAGCTGTAGAGACCGACCCCAACCGGGCACCGGATTGCGACCCGACCCAGTGCGTGTTGCCTGATTGCTACTGCTCAGCGGACGGCACCAGGATCCCTGGAAACATCGAGCCTAGTCAGGTTCCCCAGATGATAACGATTACCTTCAATGGCGCCGTAAACGTGGACAACATCGACCTGTACGAGGAGGTCTTCAACGGTCAGCGGCAGAACCCGAACGGCTGCCAAATCAGAGGCACGTTCTTCGTGTCCCACAAGTACACCAACTACTCGGCGGTCCAGGACCTGCACCGCAAGGGCCACGAGATCTCGGTCTTCTCCCTGACTCACAAGGACGACCCTCAGTACTGGACCCAGGGAACGTACGACGACTGGCTGGCAGAGATGGCAGGAGCTAGGCTGATCATCGAGCGGTTCGCCAACATCACCGATGGGTCCATCATCGGGATGCGAGCTCCGTACCTCAGGGTGGGCGGCAACAAGCAGTTCGAGATGATGGCCGACCAGTTCTTCGTCTACGACGCCTCCATCACGGCATCCCTGGGACGAGTTCCGATCTGGCCTTACACCCTGTATTTCAGAATGCCTCATAAGTGCAACGGAAACGGCGGCAACTGCCCATCCAGGTCTCACCCGGTCTGGGAGATGGTGATGAACGAGTTGGACCGGAGAGACGATCCCACGTTTGATGAGTCCTTACCTGGCTGCCACATGGTGGACTCCTGCTCCAACGTCCAGACCGGAGAACAATTCGCCAGGCTCCTCAGGCACAATTTCAATAGGCACTACACCAGCAACAGGGCGCCCCTGGGTCTTCATTTCCACGCCTCTTGGCTGAAGAGCAAGAAGGAGTACAAGGAGGAGCTCATTAAGTTCATCGAGGAGATGCTGGCCAGGAGCGACGTCTACTTCGTCACGATGGTCCAGGTGAGTTGGATCTCCATCTCGCTTATCGAAAATCCTCTCTTCTCTTTCCGCACTCTCTAGAGAACACGCAACGCGCTACATCAGCTGTTACACAAAATCGAATCGCATGAAAGGGTTCTAACTCGAAGAACTATAAAACTGAATTTATCCCAATTACGAGGTATCCATATAAATGGCAATTGATTACAATAACACGGTTTTATAAAAAAGAAACATAGAAAAATGACCCAGGCCACTTTCGCAATCACCAGGGCGTTTTAAAATATAATAGGATATACTAAATCAGGTAAAATTATACGTATACATGTATGATACATTAAATCGGATCGCAGGTCATAAAATGGATGCAGACGCCGACGGAGTTGTCCGCGCTGAGGGATTTCCAGGACTGGAAGGAGACTTGCGACGAGAAGGGACAGCCCTACTGTTCTCTGCCGAATGCGTGTCCTTTGACTACCCGAGAGCTTCCTGGAGAGACTCTGCGCCTCTTCACGTGTATGGAGTGCCCCAACAATTACCCCTGGCTGTTGGACCCCACCGGGGATGGGTTCTCTGTCAGGAAGTAGAGTCAAAATGACTCTATCGAGGGCGTCCCTCTTCGTTTCTCCTCTTGCCAACCGAGTCTGACGTCCCTTGGTACAAGAAATGATCCCGGGTGCCACCCGACGCGAGATACCCTGGGAAGATCACCCTCGGGTATCCAGCTCTCCGGGACTAAGTACGGGGGAGAAGAGTATGCCGAAGACTTCACTTGTACATAAACACTTCCCTCCTCTTTGAAACGACCCCCCTTCGTCTCCTGCTTTCCCCCGGCGGTCTCGGTGACGCCTTTTCGACGCAGACTTAAATTCTACATGTCGAAAACAAATTCCCGCGACATTCTCTACTAGCGGTTAAGACGCGCGTCTGCTTAATGTTAAATTTGTCTTAAGACATTTTTCAATAAAACGATCACTTTTGACGACTACCCTGAGTTGCCTTCGATCACCCTTCATCAAAGAAAGTAAAGTGATTACAAGAGTCCTCCAGTGTCGGTACTTGGCTAACTAATTATATTTAACAATTCGAGTTCGATACAAAAAAACAAAAGTTCGGTTTTAGGTCCATTCATCGTCGAGTTCTGATAACGGTTGGAACAACCTTGTGTTGAGATAATCTATCTAAAATGTACACGGTCAGCGACTTCGCGATAGGTACACCTGTGCCTCCATTAAATATTCCTTGAAATTGTGTCACTCTAATGGTAATTGTTAGCCCTGATTTTGCATTTCGCTGTGCCTTCCTGGAACACGTTCCAAGTGGCTTTCGACTGTTACTGCGTCGCGCTACAAATGTCAGGAATTTAAAAAGTCGATGGAGAGATCGACTCCACATAAATGCGAATCGCGAGCTCATCAATGTCGTTCCCTTTGTTAAGATAAGCGCCGATCGCGTGAATGCGTCGAGCTTTCTATCAAGTCCTTCGAAGATGAATCTTCTAAGAGTAAGAATAAAGAAGGGGAAGATAAATCTTCAATCTTATTTCGACTCCATAGGACTGGAATCATCTTCACTGCATCTTTAATGAGACGCTAAGCGAGGTAAATGCTAAGAGACGCCAGAGTCTTTAAGTCGACACCAGGTTGCTGGGGTCATATACCGAGGTAACTGCAGAGGATGAAGGCGATGCAGATACTCAGAACAATCAGGATAACCACCAGCCAGAAAGGTAATGTGTCTGAATCGAAAAGAAAATGTATTTTAGGTGGATCGTTGAAAGTCTTTGCACATAGTTGGAACAAGAAATAGAAAGTACTCTGAGAAAGACTCGTGTCACTTACGTCTAAAAGGTATACTGTGTATACAGATTCGGTTGTCAACAGAGATGCTGACAACGGCAGCTTCCGAATTACTGGTGATGGCTGGTCCATCCAGTTTTGTAGGAAGGAACTCCAAACCCGTTACAAACATACTGTGCGCACCAGATACATGGAATGCTTTCTGCAAGCTGAATGCCACAAAGATGTCGACACTTCCTGAGAACATGGTTCCAACGGCCACAAACTTGCCATTGTCCGAAACTGCTAAGGCAGACAAAGTTTCTTTGAACGGCGCAGATTTGACAATGCTTCCCGTGTCTGTGCTCCATAACTGCAGGAAACTGGGATTCTTCGCAACCGTAGCATTTGATAATATAAATAGTTGTGTCTTCGACTTATCCTCGGAGTGTTGGAAGCGACACCTTTTGTACATATATTTTGCACCATTCGGAGGGCTCCACGTGAGCTCTTTGTCTTTCTTGCCTGAAGCTATGCCCCATAAAAAGGCTTTACCATCTTTGGCAATACTCACAAGAAGATTCTTTTGTGGACTGAAATCCATATCGTCGATCTCTTTTGAATGTGCCTGAATATCGTGAACTTTCGTGAGTTGTGGAAATTTCCACAATCTTATATGACCGTCCGTACCTCCGGTTGCCATAAACGAACCGTTCGAACTCACTCGAACAATCCTTTGTAAAGACTCTCCTTCTCTGTAAGTAAATAATCCTTTATGTCTAGCTTACCATCTTTAACAGTAATCAGAAAAATAGTATATCTCACCCAAAGTCAGTTTGTATGCTGTCAGCTGGCTTGACAATTAACTGCAATCTTTTGCATTTGACATTGGAATTATTATCCTTCACGTCTTCCGTCCTCTCACGGTTCACGATATTCTCTTTAGTCTCTGAACTTTCTTCCTTCCTCCTTTGTCTAACCCCATCTCTATTTGAAGTCGTCCCTCTTAGTAATTCCCCGTTTTCCACAGAAACAACCTTAGTATTAACGCTGTACAGTTGACAGTGATTCTCCTGTCCCGCGGCAATCCAAGTCCTTTTGCCGTCGCTGTGTGACGCACAATTCATAACCACACTGGGTCCAGTTTCATGCCTCGTAACTTCTTCGGCAACAAACTGACTTCCGTCGTGTGACAATTCGAATATCTCCTGCGAACAGATTAAAAAGACCATATTAGCATCTGATCTCTAAACTCAACTTTCCGCAGCGATTTTGTTTAAGCCATGTCCGAGCCACATGGAGTTCGGACATTCTTGGAATCGGAATCAATATTGCACTATCATGAACCCGAAGCTATTTAAAGACCAAACTGAGCTACAAACGACGAGGTTAGGTTCCAGGAGCCTTACAAATCCATTGGCGACTCCCGTTTTGGAGGATCCCCCGCCACCTCCGACGACGACGTGCCTGCTGGTCAACATCTGGATGGTGTAAAGGGGAAAATTGACCCTGGCCAGCAGGCCACCCTTACTCCTCCTCGAGGGCATCGTCAACGGGACCTAAAATATTCAAACTGTAATTAATTTATCTCTAAACGGACCTCTGACCCGCTAACCTATTCTCACGTGACGGATGGCATACCTGGGGAACGTGGAAATCACTGTGCCCTTCACTTGGGGAAATTTACCGAGTTCCCTCCATAGAAAGAATATATTCGACTGAGCCGGTCGCAGGACTGCGGGACAGAGAGAGAGAAAATAGGCAATCGCAGAAGTGACATACACGGCAGCTCCTTTCATCTTGAGGCCACCGTTCGCAGGCCGAGGAGAAGCGACGATTGGCTGGGAATATTTGACAGCTGATCGCAGCGCTATCTAGTTCGATTAAACACGTGGCAAGGTTACTAGAATTTCTGACAATTACATTTTGCTACATTTTCACCCTTTTTCATCACCCTGCTGTGCATTCTGTGCACCACATCCTCAATTCACGTCGATTTTAAAATCGTCGAGAAGCAGATTCCTCGCATAACCTCAAATCTCTGTGATAACGTCTTGACACGTCGAGCACTAGTTTGAAATCGCTGTATCAATTCGCGGGCACTAGGAAGTGTGGGTAATGTTCGCACTATTGCAACTTGATTCGCTGCACGAAAGGCACAAGCGGTAAAACAAAGTAGTGATTGGTTTCCAAAGAATTGGAGAACTTCAATTGGTTTAAAAAATCGGAACATCCGGCTGCGACAATATGGCCAGCCGAGTCGACCACATGAGTTCTTTACATTTGTGTCTTTGCTGATGAAATATTTAAACGTTTTTCATTGTATCGTAGATGGTCAGCATGAGTCAGGTGCATTGACAATTTTAATCTCAATTAATAGGACAACGAGCGTTAATTAAGATATGGGTACGGGTTTATAAGAAAAAATATTGTTATATCACCAAGGATAGAGTGCCATGTGAAGGTTCTTTTGGATTCGAAATTGCAGTATGAAATAATTCCTTGGATCGGCACACCATAGAAAGTCATTTCACATGATCCAATGGCTGCTATAGAACTGGCAAGTGAAATTCTAAATGAAATTAATACAGATTTATGAACGTTCTTTGAATAATTTAAGTTTCATGTAAATGTGTTTCGCAGAATGACGAACATGGTCTTGGAACCGACGGGACTCATGATGGAAAAGAATTCTTTAAGTGCGTGCCTCACAATACGATATTTACCGATATCAAGGAGTGTTACACGATTCCTGTAAGTATATAAGTACATGTGTATGATGTGTTTCTTTAAAATCATTGAGAAGTTATTTCTTATTAAAGGTTAACGAACAAGAGAAAGAAACCACCGATAACTATGGAAATATAGAGAGCTCGGTTATCGTCGGTACCGTAGGGCCTATGTGTATAAAAGGAAGCCTTGAGTCCATATGCGGGAAATACCGGGGAATTCAAGGCCACCATAATTCATGTTATCTTGATGCAACGTTATTTAGTATGTTTGCATTTACCAGCGTGTTTGATAATTTATTGTTCAGGTAATCTATTATTTTGATAGTAGGAATGACTGGCGATAGATACTTTGATTCGATTAATTTATACGTTAACGTATAGGCCATCGAACGAGAATGATTGTCCTGAATACGAAGAGGTTCAAAAAGTACTCCGTGAGGAGATAGTCAATCCGCTACGAAAGAACAGATTTGTGAGTGCAGACAGAGTTATGAAGCTGAGAACGCTTCTGGAAAATCTGTCATCTATTTCCGGCTTGACTAGCGAAGAAAAAGGTGAGTTTGTGAAATATGAAACACGAAATTTGAACAGGGATATTACAAGATTGCATTTTAGATCCCGAAGAATTCCTAACATCCCTGGTGGCTCAGATATTAAAAGCCGAGCCATTCTTGAAATTAAGTTCTGGTCTGGACGCGTATCATTATCAACTTTTTGTGGAAAAGGATAATCACTTAAATCTACCTACTGTTCAGCAGCTACTGGAACAAAGTTTCTTCACTAGCAACATTCTACTAAAAGAGGTCCCCTCGTGTCTCATAATTCTAATGCCACGTTTTGGAAAATCCTTTAAAATGTACTCCAAGATACAACCCACATTGCTACTCGATGTAACAGATATCATCGAAGACTGTTGAGTACTATTACAAATTTGACTCAAATTTAACGCAGTGAATTTGCTTGTAACTTGAAATTAACATATGTCTGTTTCAGCACCGAGACAATGTACGAAATGTGGAAGGCTAGCGAATCTGGAATGCAAAGAGTGTTACGGTCAGTGCGGTATAGGACTGGAGAGCATCGCCTTTTGTTCACCATGCCTGGAACAAGTAAACTTCATATTTAAAAATAAATATTTATATACTTATCCATAAAAATTAAATGATTTAAAAAATTTTAGATGCATCGTAACGATCGAAGAACCAGTCATCAACCAAAGAAGCTTACAGTACCACTGGAGTTTTCAATCCTTCAAGAACACTGTCCAGTTCCTCGGTTGTATTTAGAACTGACAGCTGTGGTCTGCATCGAGACATCTCATTACGTCTCTTTCGTAAAATGTGGGTCCGGTTCCGAAGCACCTTGGTGTTTCTTTGACTCCATGGCGGATAGGAAAGGTATTCCTTTTATTTCAGCTATCAATTTATACTTTTTGAAATTGTTAATAATATTTAAGCTGATATAATTATACGAGATCCACTCATGACAGTAACCAGGCATTGGCGAATAAAAATCTATTTTATTTAATTGGAAGAGAAAATTTACTGATACATTACGCTAGCTTGAAACAGTTGAATTAATTGTAAGTTGGAAACACTTATGACTTTTATTGTGTTTAGGAGAACAAAATGGTTATAACATTCCGGAAATGGTTCCTTGTCCAGACTTTCCATATTGGCTTAGTGAAGAAGGTGCAAGCTACCTTACGAATCTAACCGATGATCGTCATCTACCAGAACATGCCAAACGACTGCTTTGCGACGCTTACATGTGCATGTATCAATCTCCGGATGTAATGATGTACAAATAATTTTAACTAGTTAGGTAAGTTTGTGTTAATACGCTTGCATCTGATTAACTCCTGTACATACTTTAAAGATGAATTTGCAAGACGATAAGATGGGAAAAGTGCTAAACTTTATAAGCATTCGTGTTCTGGCACCCTGTGCATAATCAGCTTTTTTTAGGAACTCCTTCCTAATCTAAAGCAATTATAAAGTTTATTCACTTTTAAACGAATCTTTTCATTAATCGAAAAATCGCTTTTGTGCGTTCACGCGGCCACTCCTTTAAAAAAGCGACCTCAATCGATTCATCGGTTCAGAAATATGTTCGCAATGCTTGTAGATCCGAGTCACTGTAAATTACAATACCGATAAATACTCTCACTACTTTGATCAAATTCCTTTTGTTATATATCTGAATAACAATATGTTCATTTTCTATGGTTGCTGTCTAAATGTTTAATGACTATGTATGTTACTTAGCAAAACAAATCGTACTCATCTCTGGGTACATATTTAAATCTCCTGAATAACATCGTACATAGCTCAAACATTACTCAAAAGTCCATTATAACTATTTATTCTCCTAGGATTGAAACATAGACAGTCAGGTTGCCCTATAATTAAACTCTCTCCGCTTTCATTCCGTTATTAATTATCGAAGAACTTTTATTAAGTGACGTGACTTTTATTAAGTTCAAATAAGTATAATAATTTCTCTTCGACGGAATCTTTTGAGGGAAATGTTGAAATTTCGAAGGAACAGCGAAGGATAGATCACTCTTACACAATGTGTCGCGAAATTCGACGAAAGCTTACAATTTTACATTATTGAGATCAATTAATAGAATTATTGAATCTTGACAAGATCACAAATCGTAAAGCTTAGATTCCATTTAGACCTACTACGCAAACCATTAATACGGTCAACTAAAAGGAGACACTTTGAATGTCACGATAGAATCATCATACACAATACGATAATTAATATTTAGTAAAATCGAAAGGAATCTATATCACTAATATATCTGCTCACTCAGTAGACTAACCGAAACGTAGACTTTGCCTTTACGGACATAGTCTGTATATACATCTACATAGCTGTATATGAGCACTTTAATTTTTAGTTATTGACAGAGTGAATTCCTAGTTAATGTTAAGTAAAAAAAAAATTACTTTCCGCGTACTGGAGCCTTCCACTCTTAACACTGTTGTATAGCTCTGTGTCCAATGATGCAGGAATAACTAAATGTAAATACTCAACGAGATTTAAAGCTATCCGTTAACTTAAATGTCGTTAATTAGACTTTTCTTACGTACAATAGAAACTAGATATATTCTCATGGTCAGTCATATAGGATTTCACGTGTTTTGATTTTAATTAACGTATCATTAATTCTAAAACAGAAGCAGGCTTCGAAAGAGCTTTCATGATATCGTCATCTACTCTTAACAGTAATACTATTTCTTCTATATGCTTGGTCGTATATTAAATGAAATCGTTTGAGGATCATGTAACCACATGACTTAATTTGATACACTTGAACGGGAAAGAAAAGAATTTTTTGTACATCCTTTCGAAATTTGCACCTTTACCCGAATCTGCTATGCCTTTTGATTTTACCCCATCGGGTTGTGTACAATTATCTAATTTAGTTCTTGAAGTCGTCCCTGAAGAAATACTCTTAACGGAAAATAGTGTTTATGTGCATAAATCGGGAGGAGTTAATAATACATAAACGAAAAGTTGAGCTTTGAGCTATTTAACGGGGCAGAAGGGAATTCTTGACACTTCAGTATTGATCTTCGTCGTCTTCATCCATTGTAAAGTCGCTACCGACGCCTGAATCTAAGATATACAGGGGGCTGCGACAAAATGAAACAATTATCCTTTCTAAATAATTAAGACATTATCTCAGACAGATATTCCATGCTCTAACAGCTTCGATAACCTTTGTTTTTGACGTCAGGACTTACTTTATTGCTCTGCATGTAAAAAATACGATTCTCTTGAGCTTCTTGTTGTAAAAGAAGTAATTGAACGACCATAAGCACCCATCTTCTCCGAAAGGATCTGAAGCCAGGTCGGGATTGTAACTAGAGGATTAAATATTGAAATCTTAGTGAAACTCAGGTGTATGTAATGTTACGAATCATCGATGTACATGGATTTCGGGAGGTCTTGCCTGTAAATGTCACATTCGTTCAATTGTATCTCATCCTCGACTGCAGCCCAGAGTGCAGAGCGTAGAGTACGATAATGATCTCCTGCCGTAGCACTGAGATTACTATCCACCGAGTTCATTACCCATTGTAGACTGGGCTCTTTACTGAATTCATGGCTCTTAGCATCGGAGAAATCATAGTCAGGATGAAACGCTGAGTTCAAGGTAGCAATCAGATAGAATAGGGTCTTACGACTTATTGTGTCGCACAAGGGCCCATCCTCGTCACCAGACGTGCTGCGACTGAAATGTCGTCAACATTGCATGTTTGATTAAAATGTTTATCAGTGGTCAAACTGTGACTGTGTCGAGACAACCAGGATGTGCATTTTATTATATCTGTTCATATTAAGAGCCAGTGAATATGTTAAGACATATCATTATACCTAAAATAGCTCTGTGCCGGTGATGCTCCAAGACATGTCTGTGGAGGTGATAAGGCTTGCAGATCATGTGGAGTGACTCCCTGTTCTGCGTTAAAGCGCTTGTAAAGTTGCTTGTCGCCACCAGCCATCTTGCAGGAGTAGCTCTCGATTCTAAAACGTTTAATTCCAATTCAAACGACCATTTTTTCTCCGCATACCGGCGAACTCCTTACCTTCCTATTATCTTACTGTCCCCGGTCTCTATAGACAAGGCACTGTTAATGGCCTCAAAGCGTGTACTTTCGAGCAGCTTCATGGTGTCCCTTGAATCGTTACTTCTTCTCCTTTTTCCCCTGATATTCTCTTTCAATGCCGAACGGCCTTTCACTTAGTGTAGACCTGAGTGTTCAACACCGGTTAACTGAGCGCTTCCATACTTCAGGATTTCCCAAAGACTGCCCGACTGCTCTAAACCTTCTACCCGTACCAAGTGTACGAGTACCCGCAGTTAGCCGTTCAACAGCAACGAAATATCAAAAAGTTTCTACCCCTTGGACTGTTCGATTCTTTATACATGCTTTTCGAGTATATAAAGATTCCTTTCCTCTTCGAGTGGACGAAATTAATCGCGGACGTTGTAGAGTTTTCCTCGGTACCACACTTGCAGTACATTACAGATCACTAATAAACTGTGTTTAAGAGATAAACACCTAGGCAGGCTCTGCGAAGATAACTCTGAAACTGCTTCTTTTCTGCCTGATATTAATTAGTATTCGACTGCGTTAATATTGACGATACACCGACGCTCTATCGGTAATCCTAACGAGATAGTTTGACGGTTCTTTGAAAAGTCACTACAGGGTTGGGACTACAGTCAACGCAACAGTGCACCCTGTAGCAAAACTGCTGCAACCACTTCCAGCTTCTCGAAATAAACTAGCTTTACAGAAGGGAAGAGAGAAAGAAACGGACAGGAAGACACAGGGATTCAGGCTCCTTCGGAGACGAATCAGTTTCGTCCACTGCTACAGAGAACAATCCATAATCGCGAACATTGTTACTGGTTAGTGTAATTAATAATTTTTACAAAACACTCGAGGAGGGTGCGGGCCAGCACCGACGCAACACCTTCCTCCAAGGACGAAGAAATCTTGACCTCTATGTCTCAATTCTTCACTGTTCAATTCACTGGTTGGGTCACTCACAACGCAACATGAATCGCATTGGGCGGCTGTGCGCAGTTCGGCAATATCGCTCGTGATATTGCACCCAAAAAAAAAACAAACACCCGTCCTAACTCCAGTGGCGAGTGCGGACTTTTGAGTTCTTTCTTCACTCCGTTATGTTTTGTCCGTGTCAAGAGTGGAGGGAACTGTAATGACGCTGCAGCTGATTACAAGATGGCGTTATCCTCCGTCAAGCCAGAGAAAGTCAGAGTATCTAGAGCGCAAATTATGCTTATAAAATGTACGACACGAGCGCCGCTTGTATCGAGGATGTTTTTGACAGAGATGAATTGGAAGATTGCTCACGGGCAGGATCGTGCGAACACATCCTGTGCTGCCCTCTGGTTTCGTACGTTAGCTTTCACCGTTTTTTGCCCCCAAGGGCGGCGCAACGAATTTCTGATAGGAGCTCGCGCACTCGCGATGGCGGTACCATCTACCAGTCGCCGTTGGCGGCTCACGTACTCGTTATGGTAATACCATGCGGCAGTTGACGGTGGTGGCTTACCTACGCTTACCGACACTGCTCGCTTTTGATGGTAAGGGAAGAACACTCGTGACGCTCCATTTGACTTTATCTACTTATCTACTACTATTAAGTACATTGTAGCCTCGAAGTCGACGTGATGCGGCGCTTTGGGGCACGCGTCGGTGTAGCGTACGAAATTCTCAAGCAGCGAATCTGCGTGAGTGCGATCGCTCCTAGAAATATTCGCACGTCCCAACCAGCCAAGCGCCAAGCTACGGGTCGAGACGTTGAGTATGTGTGCGTTCGGCCCTACACTCGACGAGTATGCGCGAGAGCCGAAACTGCGAAAAATCCTCCCGAGGCTTAACTAACTGCGGATATAAGCCGAGTCATTTCGCGTATGATTTTTATATTTCCCTACAGAGTGCCGGAGAGTTGCCGGAGAGTGCTGGAGAGTGCCGGAGAGTTGCCTCAGAGTACTGGAGAGTGCCGGAAAGTGCCGCAGAGTGCTGGAGAGTGCCGGCACAATGTACTTAATAGTAGTAGATAAGTAGATAAAGTCATATGGAGCGTAACGAGTGTTCTTCCCTTACCATCAAAAGCGAGCAGTGTCGGTAAGCGTAGGTAAGCCACCACCGTCAACTGTCGCATGGTATTACCACCACGAGTACGTGAGCCGCCAACGGCGACTGGTAGATGGTACCGCCATCGCGAGTACGCGAGCTCCTATCAGAAATTCGTTGCGCCGCCCTTGGGGGCAAAAAACGGTGAAAGCTAACGTACGAAACCAGAGGACAACACAGGATGCGATCACACGATCCTGCCCGTGAGCAATCTCCCAACTCATCTCTGCTCATCTCTGGTTTTTGATGTCTTGTGCGTCGTTTTAGGACCGGGACGAAGAATACTGCGCCATCTTGCGTTAGATGAGAATTCAACTTCGAGTTCTCTTTCATGTGGGGCCGTCATTTGGCCGCCATCTTGGATGACCCTGAACGCTCAGCGAGGAGGCAGACTGGGCTGATGCGGTGTCCTCCCGCAATTTTCATCCATCCAACATCATCTTTACATCCCGTCGGTGCACCGCAGTAAGCCGAGTTCACTCCCTGGTCCATTTCCTAGTAAATTCCTGCGTCCTTTGTGAAATCAACGTCTCGTCTCGTAATTAACCATGAAGATTTGGACCTCAGATCACATCTTCAAGTAAGTGCTTAGCTCCACATTCTTAGAGTTTCGAATCAATTAGCGGATAGCCCGGCTTTTGAAGGTCAAGATTACTTATTTTATTGCTTGCAGCCATCCATGGGAAACTGTAACTCAGGCTGCTTGGAGGAAGTATCCTAACCCCATAAATACTGCAGTCATCGGAATGGACGTCATCGATAGGAAAGTCGTCGATGGCGTGTTACACACTCACAGACTCGTTGCCACCCAGTGGGGCATTCCTAAATGGGTGCAAGCAGTGAGTTACTCTTCTTATTCTCAGGCTATGTCACTTTGCTGAACTCGATCGTAACCTTAATCGTTCAACTCTAATTGAACGAATACTTATAGAAGTTCTAAGTTCACGTAGCTTGTACACATGTTCGGTAAATTGTATCCAATGCTGTATTCCGATACTATTTAATTAATAGGTGCACGGCACGTTTTATTGTCCGCTGTACGGAATGTATGCAAGTTAAATGGACTTACTTGAACGTCGTTACTTATAGTGCAATTATTTTATCGAATCTTAAGGTCGATGTTCGACTAGCGCATGCTCAATTATATGGTCTTATGTATTGATGAGAGATGGTCTTATCACTTCGAAAGACTAGGTTGATTTACATTTAGGTTAGGTTATTTAGTGTTTCATAAAAGTCAGTGTAAGAAATTGGTACGGCGTTTTCCTTGGAGTAATTCAATTTTGTTCGGTAATTATCTCGATGATAGTGACCTTCAGACTCAAGTTGCAGCGATATTGTTCAGATTACAGGAACTTCCATTGTTCGAGCTCTTCATTATCAGAGTATGACAAAGGAATGTCATGTCTAAAGGTTGATTAGGTTAGGTAAGGAATTTATACCGAAAGATAAACTTTCCTGAATGTTTAACAGTCACGTGTGAATCATGTGGTCTCTAGCCTCGTATTAGGCACATTCTCTGATGTATTGCAATACTTCATTGCACAATCTCGTTGGTCAATGTCCGGATTCATTTCTGTAGGTAGCCTCTGCTCTTTCGCAATCCCAAAAGCCTCTACATCGGAGAAAAAAAATTCCACCTCCAATCTGGCGACCTTGGTGCACTACTATTAATTAATTTCGCAATGCTAATTACATAATAACTCCTTCTTGCTCGTGTTATAATTAATCTACTGTAAAGGCAATTCTCTTTTAACAAAATACCATGTATACATTATAGTCTAGAAATATAATTTTATAGTTAAAAGAATTTAATACTTTTCAATCTGCAGGTTGAATTTTAGGATAGTGACAATGAAATGCTCCTTGATTATTTCTGGATTTCAGTCCTAAGGTCTTCGCTTGAACGAGCAGAGTTTCTGTGAAATCGCAAATTAGTGGGCCAGTGCAGTTTCTTGTTGGCCGAGGCAAAAAGGTGCCTCCGGACGAAGTAATTTCCCAACAGCGTGTGCGCGAGTTTCTTCCTTCGGTAAATTCTAAACTTTCGGCGGAGCGTCGCAAAGAGATGCAAGAGAGGCCGGTGCCGAATTACAAAACATGGCCGTCCCACGTAACGAGGTTGCTCGGCTTCGAACGTCACTTGGCAGGTCTCCAGTTGGACGGTCCTCTCCTTCACCTTGGTTAAACAGTTCTTTCCTTCACCCTGGTCGCTGACGTCTCTTCAGAAAATAGTTAACTCGAAGAAATTCCTATTCCTGCCTTTACCCTGTAAAGAACAACAACTCGATCGACCGATCAGCTTCATCGATGAAACTTCTCTCCTCTCCAGAGGTGATCGGTCCATGGAGTTCGGAGAGCAATTCTTCATCTCTTTAATTTTTCTATACTCTCCAGGTTAAATTAGAAGAAGGATCACCAAGAAAAGAGGAAGATTCGAAAACCAGGCCAACTTCGGATTATTGTCTCCGATTTATTGTCGATTCCCTTCCGGAGGACCTCCAACATCGATGGACCTCTTCGCCCCTCCGAGCTGATCCCCTCTCCCGCGTTTACGCCTCCCAATTATTTACGGCCGGTAATTTGTTTTAATTATTGTCCGGAATTAATTCCTACGGCAGTGCTCCGACGTGTCGTTGTCGACCGGTCGGGCGACAACGCTCACGGCTACGGGAATTACTGTCAATTAAAAGGGAAATTTCCACGGGCGAGAGCATTCAGCCCGGCACACCGGACTGCGGAATTAACTCGAGCGAGGAGTTGATCGCCGATTCGACTTTTTTCATTTTATTTCCCTCGGCTTTTTTTTCCTCCCACCTCCCCCCTCTTTTTCGGCTCCCCTCTTTTCTCCCTTCGGCCCCACTCGCCGGCCTTTGTTTCGGTTGATTTTGCTCCCTTCTCTTTTCATTTTTTTTTTGCCCCCGTCGAGTGGTAATTGTCCTGCCGTTCGTTAGCGCAGCGCCGACTGGGAGAGTTCTCTCATGGAAATGGCCGGACTCGAGCTTTCCTGGGACGAGTTCGCACGACTTAGGTCGATTAGGAGGTCGGCGAAGTCGTTTAATGATTTTATTCCCCCAGCAGAATTCTGTCCTCCGTGCTGATCGACCGTCCGCGGCGGTATTAATCGCCGTTCCGACTTCCGTTTGATCTCGCCGCAGCCCATTCGGGGTATTTCATCGGACGAGGCCGCTGCTTCGGGCATTATCCATTCTCGATTTCCATCGATCCTGAAAATGCATAATTCTCATTGTTCCCGTGATCTCCGAGTTCTTACCTTAAAGTAGACATTCATTACCGCCTTAGAACCAGAGCTCGTACCTTGAATCGAGGTCGGACATCGATTTTTCGGAAGTCTAGGAGGGACTTTCCGTTGTAACCGCGTTCACCCTAGAGGTCCTTATCTTGAATCAGGATACTCGATACGAATATTCAGATGAGTGAGTGAGATCTTTTTCCGTTGCAGCTGATCGGATATGAAAGCGTCTGCTACGCCAGCGAGAGGAGCGAGGTCGACCCTGAGAAGCGAGAGATGACCCTGAAGACAAGAAACGTGAGTGCCTGATTTCGAGTGAATTTATCCTTTTATATATATATTTTTTTTCTTCCGTCTGCGAGAATGGAGCTCACCTTCGGGACTCCCCCTGATAAGGCTAGGGGTCCTGATCCGGGCTGATTACCTGGGACGTCGGTCATGGTTACGACGCTCTCCGATCACAGATGCATCCTAGGCTTAATTGTGCCATGCGTTTCTCGAGGGCTTCCTCATCAAGCTGTCACGGCGGCATTAGTGCTGATACCCTCTCCGAGCATGTCGTAATAAGATTAAGATCGGGAGGATTAATATGATTTTCGATCTGGTTATCGCTGTCGGGGGGCGCGCGGGGCTGCGGCTCCTGGGAATAGATATCTGAGTCGCGATAAGATCCCAGCCTGGAACGGGTTAAGCCAAACCCACCCCTTTCGCGCGAGGCCCTCCCGCCATGCTCCATTAGCGAGGTGCGCCCCCGGCAGGTGCAAGAGGGGCGCTTACCCCCCCCTGCAATTCGGCCCTGGAGCACCCAGGGGAGCCGCGATGGATACGATATGGGTTATCGATGCTCGCATTAACCGAGGGAGGAGGATCCGGAAGGAGTGCTCTCTCTCTCGAGGTCGACCCCAGAGACGGACTCCGCCTAAAAAGTACCGCCCGGTTCAGGGAGATGCATTACCAGGATGATGAACGATCCCTAGATAAGCGAGGAGGCTGAGAAGAGTCCGCGTGGGAACGCTTCGTCTAATGTCTACGCATTGGGATGTTGTCTACTGCGATTAGCTTCTGGCGGATCCTCGAGGACGTTTAGGACCAGAAATGAAACCTCAGGAGGGACCACGGATGCAGAGAAAACTCGAGAGGGTGGAGGCTCTTCGAGCACTTCTTCGACGTCTGTACCGTAAAACTCATCGCCCTTGGGGATCATCATCGGAAAGGAAGAAACTATTCGCGGAGATCCACTATAGAGGTTCAACTCACCCTGGTTAAGCCTCGACATTGTCATCAGACCCAGAGAGGAGGTCTACCAGGTCCACGAAGCTGTTTTCAAAGGACAGGGTCCGAAATCGAACGGTTCCCCGGTGGTCCCGGTATTTATACCCTGGTCAGGAGTGGTGCCGGGCGTGCCCCGGGTTGGGGGATGCACCTCGCGTTCCCGGTGCCCGACCGGGTTATAACCCATATCCCGGTCGAATCCCAGGAGGGAAATATCTTTTAGCAATTTACCCCTGTCCCCCGGCCCATCCCCGCGCCCCGGGACATGCAGGCCGAGCATGTACACCGGTTACAAGCCGGCCGGCGCACATACCGTCGCATACGTTATACGACCCTTACGCAGACGTAACGACGTAACACGTATACAACCTCCGGGGAGAGCCCGGGACGTTACGGATGATAACCCCGGGCTTGATATCGCCGCGAAATGGAGATTCGTTGTGTCGGAACGTTCCGTCGTCGGAAAATCATCCCTCCGGCTCCTGGGACTCGGGGGATGTTTTGCGGGAGCTAGGAAATTCGCCGGATGTCAGACACTTGGCCGCCTCCACCTCTTCGGGTTGATAACAAGTCGCTTGGCATTCTCAAACCTTTTTAATCTGTAGAGAATCCACAATATCAGGGGTCGCGACGACGGGCTCTTCTTTGAGGGCGCGATTTTGCATAGTTAATCCATGAATATCGACCTCGGCCTTGCACGACGTGCCAAAAGTGGAGATTAAGGTGATGCGAAAGTGCCGTCAAAGAGGTCTCCAGGAAGCTTCTCCGAATCGGGTGTACCAAGTCGCTTCAAACTTTACAGTGTCAATGTGGAGGCTATAAGGAAGGTTTCTAATCCCGTGGAATTTCAATTTTTTTTTTTCCAAGATTTGCTTGCAGACACTTTTAAAATTTCTCATAAAAATTGAAATTTCACGGTGAACAATTTGAAACGACTCGGGTGCACCCAGAGAAAAGTTTCATGTGCCACTTTCACTTGCCCTTAAGATCGAGACTACGTTAAGATCTATTTTGCTCGTTGCCATTCAGAGATCGAAACTGATATCGCATTGATGGTCCTGTCTCCCGTGGGATCTTAGGGATATATATGTGTATCCGGGCCGTGCTAAGGCGTAGCGGTGGGTTGCACCCACGTTGAACAGGAATTAGGACAGCTAAAACGAGCTGGATCCGCAAATCGCTCCCCTTGGGTCCTCCGGGTCCCGTAATGTGAGTGGGACGGAGAGAGAGCGAACCTGGGTTACGGCTGCGAGAGAGAGAGATCAACAGGGTGCCGGGTGGCTGTGAAACGAGGAAGCCAAGGGAAACGGACCTACTTGCCGTCGAGTCGTCTCAATTATGTCGCGGGGCTAATTACCCGTGACTGGCTTCATCCTCTTCTCTCTCTCTCTCCCTTTACCTCGTATGTTCGTCTCTCGTTGAAAATTGTCCGTGCACTCTGCAATTGATGGCCTGAAATCAGAAACACGTTTGGGATGCGTTTTCGCGTGTTCTTATAAACTTTTGTATATTATTACACGTTATTACCTGTTTTTACACTCGTATACACGTTTATACACGTCTCGTCACCAGTATACCAGCGGACGTAAAGGCCTTCGCTTCCAATATGGCGGCGCAAGTGGAGGAAGGAAAGGCGTCCGCGTCCGCCATTTTATTTTACCTATGCTCGAGGGCGCGAAGACGTGTCGCTCGGATCCTATCTAATCGGCCATGCCGGGTGTGAGAACTCTCGATTCGAGTCCGGAATAACGATCGACCGGGCTGGTTCGGGTCGGCGTTTAACGCCGCTTGCAATGCGTCCCTCGCGCGTAAAAGCGCACCTCGCCCGGCCAAATGAAAAGCAAACGCGCGCGCCGAGGGATTGGCAAACAGCGGTTTCGACGCGGCGGCGGTGGCGGCGGCGGGAAAAAAAAATTTCAATTAACCGGTCCGCGCCTACCCCAGCGCCGCGCGCCGGAGGAATTAATTACTACCGGCCGACGCGGTGGTGTTTGCGCTGAGCGCGGGACGCTATTGTGATCTAGGGCGAGAACCCTCTTACTTTAAGATTATGTAAAATTGTTAGTTTCTACACGACCGATGTGATTATTATTAACTTTGAGATTTTATCTACGGCAGTTATATCTTTCTTGGCGATTTTTCGCTTCCGATGCGCCGCGCGTCCAGTGGGACACCGGGCTGCGCGGCGCGGCAATTACGAAACACCGCCGGCTACTCGTCGCACTCGTAACTCCGCGTCGTGGCCGTAATTCCGCACGTCAGCCGGCGTTACCGGGCGGAAGGGGGTGGTAATTAGCCGATGACGATTGCTCGATTGGCGGCAGGACGCGGGATATACGGCGACCGCTGGATCGAGAAGAGCCGTTTCCGGGAGGACGCGCCAGCGCGCCTGCCATCTGACGGCGAGTAGGGGAAACCAGTGGCTGCGCGGTTCTACCGATTTCCGCCAGATGGCATGGCGATTTTATTTTTTCGACCGATTTCAGGGGACCGCTTCGCGCATCGCGGCGTTCTCGCCACTGATTCCGGGGGGGTGATAGGGGGTGGCTCGGTGACAGGCACAAAGCGCGGATCTTGCAGGGCGCGTACCCGCGCTCGTGTAATACAGTCGGCTTCACTGATTGGCAATATGGCGGCCGCGCACCGCCCCACCGAGCGCCGCGGGCGTTAATTTCTCCGCGAAACGTATTGCACCCGCAAGGATTCAATTGTTCCACTCTCGCGGCCGCCATTGCCCCGCAATTGTCCCCCCTCCTCTTCGCGGCCGCGACCCGGTCACCGTTTTCCCAGCGGATCGCGAGCTCCCCCCGCCGCCATCTTGTTCTTCGGCGGTCCTCGAGGGAGTCTTCTTTCCTGCCTTTCTTCACTCATCCCGACCACGTCTAAACCATTCATGTCCTAAAGTCAATAACTTTCAGAGGTCCTTATCGATTTCTAGCCGAATGACATCTATCCCCAGCGTTTTTTCTACATAACGACTCTTTCTAGATGCCAGGCGGTGGTCCTTGGCGGCCGCCATCTTGCTTTTCCCTGTGCGTCGGGCTTGGACCGCCGCTACGAACTGAACTTTTCCCCCCGAATTTCTTGGAGTTTCAACTCTTTCTGTAGTTTCTACCGATGTCTCGGATCCTCGTTTTTGTCTCTTGACGGCGATCCTTGTCTTATCGGGGGAGATAAACGGCCGGCCGACAGATAAATGCACAATCCTCGCGTGACTTTATAATCGTACGGGTCGTCGACCTTTTTCGGATCGATCGGAGTCGGAGAATCGCGATCGGGGCCGCGCGGCCTACCAGGAAAAGCCGGCCCGCGTTCGCGGGGCGGCCTTTGAATAATCGATGCCATGAAATAAACTGCAAACGCAGTCCTCTCTCTGTAAACGTTTCTCGTCACGAAAAAAGCCCGGCGAGGAGCGGCGCGCCGGGGGCGGCCCCCGACCGCCCCGGGGAGCTTTTTACGGTGCACTTTTCCGCCGTGATTGTCCGCTTCGGGGAAACCCTGCAATGGGGGTAATTTACCCTGGGAAAAAAAAAAGAAAAAAGAAAAAATAGCGGAAGGAACGAGAGAAAGGGGGAAAAAAGAGCCGGCAACCCTAGTGATTTGCGTGCCGACGCATTCGCGATCGCGCGGATTCCCGTAAACGCCGACTCGATCCTCCGTCCCTAACCTCTAACCCCGTTAATCCTTTAAGCGTTAAACGAACGCGTCAGGACGCCCGGAAGTCAGCCCCGACTCGGCAACTCGTTAATCGGACTCTTGATCTGCAATTTCGTTCGTGGGAATGCATTCCAAGATGGGGGGAAAATTACAACAGAAATTAATTTCTGTATCTAGGGGGCGGCATCGCTTTTTCTTTGTCTTCAGTTATCGACGTCTTTTGTTTCAGTTGACCTTCTGCAATTACATCGCCGTAGACGAGACCCTGAGGTACCAACCTCATCCCCAAGACACGGGGAAGACGTTGCTCATACAGGAAGCCGTTGTCACGGTCCAGGGTGTCCCGCTGACGAACTACATGGAGGACATGTTGACCTCGAAGATCTCCTTCAATGCCAGAAAAGTGGGTTTCGAGTTGCTGATTACTTTCCCTAGTTGTTCCATGATCGCCGCGATAAGAAGATACATCAGTTAGAATTTTTATTCAATTTTATATCGGATAAAAAAATTGTGCGGCCTTAGAAAAATCGACATTTTTTTCAGGGAATTTTTTGTTAATCTTATATCGTATACAATAATTGAGGAGTATTAGGGAAATAGACATTTTGCGGGGAATGTATTGTTAATCTTATGTCGTATACAATAATCGAGGAGTATTAGAATAATAGCCATTTTGCGGGGAATTTTGTTGTTAACGGTGTTTATGGCGGTTTAGTCAATCTAGAATGTGCCTTGTATCGTTTCAGGGGAGGCAGGCCATGGAATGGGTGATTAGCAAGCTCGAGTTGGAAGTGAAGGACCTCGCGAGCAGTGCCGTCAAGTCGACGGACGAGTTGCTGACGCAAACCCGACGTCAGATCGACGACCTGACCTCGAAGACGCGGCGGAGCATGGACGACCTTCAGAACGCCGCGAACAAGTCCTTCGACGACTTTCGTCACCGCACGACGCCCCCCACGTCCCAGTCCATTCCCAAGTTATAGCTAAGGTTTCACTCTAGCTTCAATCTTTTCAATTAATGGCGACGTACCTCTGCCGGATGGTCGGTATTTTTGGGAGAAGAGGGGCCGCGGTGATGAGGAAATCTTGATACTTCACCTACCGGAAGCGTATTAATAGTAGAGATGTGCAAATGCAAGGTCAACGAGATGACTACCGGGTTTTGGTCTTGATCTTGCCATTGTGGTGGCTTATCACGTCCTGCAAGATAGGATACAATTTAACGATTATCTCTATTTAATAATTATCCAATTAATTCGCAAGCGGCAGGTGAAGCGTCAACGAACGTCCGAGCGACATTCCATCGCACCCTGAAGAGGGTCCCAATGTCAAGGGACTGCTTCGTGGTACCGATCGCCCAGCAGAGGGTTCTTCGTAGTTGTCGACCGGTCGTGACCTAGGCCAACGGTGCCTACGTTGACCCAGGTCGCGGGCGGCCGCAGGACGGAGGTGGAAGAGGAGGTAAAAAAGTAAAAATCGCAAAACCATTTCCAAAGAAGGTCCTTCGGGTCCTCGCGACCCCCAGGGCGGAGCGAAACGAGATCGGTAATTGAAGGGTAAGAAAGTGGCGCTTTTACAAAGCGCCGGGACCCATGTCAAAGACACGCAAGTTTAAGGACGACATATTGTCGCATAGTTAACCCTCCCCTCGCGTATAATTCCTGTACTCGTCCCTTCCTACCCTGAAGTCATGAGAACGACCAGGTACTGCCCGAAAGGACGACTTATAAATCCAAGTTCTCTTTTGCGAGACCAATAATGTTAATCGCACGATCCTTCCATTTTGAGACAATCGGCTAGGCCGATTTTTCAAAAAAAAAATGAAAAAAATGAAAAAAAAATGAAAAAAGGAAACTTAAGGGTTTGCTATCGTTCCTTCGGCTCGGCACTAAGGTATTATATTTATTTCTCGATCCGTTAGATACCATAAGCCAGCTCTTCGGGAACAAGAATTGCGCAGGTCCTCCGATTTCCAGGTGAAATCAAAAGGGCTGGATATATTGTTAAGAGCGCAAGCGAAGATCCACGAACACTCGTCTAGTGGCGTATACGCTTTTTCTCACGTTTTCTCTCTCATCCTGTAACCTGTAAATAATTACCTAGCGAACATAAATCGATGTAACTCGTGTCCAGGCAAATCGCAGTTGACTTATTTACCCGAGTAGTTTTTATTCGGCAGTGTTAAGGCGACGTGAAAGTGCCGTCAAAGAGGTCTCGTTTATGAAGTTTCACCGAACTCCGTGTGGAGACTGTAAGGAAGGTCTTGATACCCGTGACATTTTGATTTTTATTTTCAAAATTTGTTTATATTAATAAGAAAAAAAAAACTTATAAAACATGAAATTTCATGGGATTCGGGACCTTCCTTACAGCCTTCATATTCACGTGGTAAGGTTCGAAAAGGATTCGGTACACCCATCTCGACGAAGGTTTATGAATCGACCCTTCGGATGCAATTTTGACGTCCCCTTGACGACACGTGCTCGATTAGGAAAGTTCATTTTCAGGTGATGAAAAGCGTGGTAGATGTGAATTTTCGAGGCAGCTTCTCTATAGATTCTAGGCTAGAATTCGGCCCTCTACTTCTACTACTCTGCTACTACTACCACTATACTACTATAAGGTCAGCTCTACTGCTAAGTGGATTATCTGCCTCGGTAAGGTCTAATCGATCTCGAAATTCCGCACGATTGCGATTTCCGCAAGGGACCATCTCCTCGTCATCGATATCCCACTCGAGTGGGATAACTCCGGAGTTCCTGGATCCTGGATGATGCCGAGCCTCCCTAGGGTATGCGCCGCGATCCCTGCGGGCATGTAAGCGTAATTGATGACATTCTGGCTCATCGGCCGACAAAGTTCGGCTTTGTGAGCCCGCCGCTGTCAAATATTGACATCGTTGCCCGATGATCGCGAGCCCTTTGTCCACATTCCGCTCGTGGCTCGGCCAAAGTAAATCAAAGTCCGCCGTTCCTCTCTTCGGGGGCGATGAATCGCACCCCGGGGACCTTCCTCGTAGGTTTTACTTACCCCTTTCTTCCACTTTCCCGCTTCCCGAAATAGGAAACGCTTTCACTGAAATGGACAATCTACCATTTCCGCAATATTTTCATTTCATACATTTTTTTTTTTTTCCACGCGATTTTCGATGGCACTTTTGAGAGGTACTCACCGATCCATCGTCAATTAAAATCATTTCACTGGGAGCCTCGTTAAATTGACAATCGCGAATATCTGGAATTTTCAAGATTCTTGGAAACTGTACCCCGGATCTTTAGGGATATCTTTGGAGATATTTTTTCATAACTTTATTTACGCTGCATCTTAGTTTTTTTTTTTTTTCCATTGCCACTTTGGAAACATACCTACCTATAACAGATAGTGCTATCGGTGAGATTGAAGTTTCGTATTTGAATCTGAATTTGTTCAACAGTGTATTCTGAATGGCGTTACCACCTAAAAGGGTGCAGATGAATATTTAATTTGTCGATCTCCATCGACTCTCTCGGCGCCTTTCATATCATCTTTAGGGGAATCCTGGGGGACTTTCCTGGCATTCTGCATTCTTGATTGGTCCACCGCAGAGAGCCCGAACTGTCGGAGATCTCTAGTCGAGGTTCCAACGTTGCATCCCGCAACGAATCCGGCGAAGTAGAGGTCAATTCGAGTCTCAAGATCCCTTGTGGTCCGATAGGGTAGTCGGTCCCTTCGATACCGAGTTTCGCTATCTGACGACGACTTCGCCTAATCAGTAGTCCGTAGCTGCCAGTTGCCAAGGAATGCTACTACCGGGAAGTTCCCTCAAAGGAACCGCCGCGCAATGCAAGTCGGCTCGCGGCAAGTTGGCCAAAATTCAATTAACCACCCGCGGGCCGAGTCGACAGTAGTCAAAGGGCTTTGGAAGATCAGACCTAAGGGTGGGATCAATCCTATTGGGTGGAGGTGCGCCCTGAGCTCGACGGGCACCAATAATCCTCGCGTCATTTGCCGGATATGCGTCTTCATATTTTACGTACCTAAGAAATTAATCTTGATGCAGGAATTCCAAGATAACTCCCTCTAAATAACTTTCTCTTCCAAATTGCAATAAAAGTGGAATTCTGGAATTTTTCTTGCGTCCGAAATCAGACGTTTATGGAGTAACCCCCTAATAAAAAATTGTCATGGTCTTCATCGTTAACGTAGCCTATTAATTTAATGAGGACGCACCTAAGAAATTAATCTTGATGCAGGAATTCCAAGATAACTCCCTCTAAATAACTTTCTCTTCCAAATTGCAATAAAAGTGGAATTCTGGAATTTTTCTTGCGTCCGAAATCAGACGTTTATGGAGTAACCCCCTAATAAAAAATTGTCATGGTCTTCATCGTTAACGTAGCCTATTAATTTAACGTGAATACAGGGAATTTCAGGATAACAACTCGTAATGGTTGTCTTTGAAATAAAAATAAAAGTGGAAATGTTGAGCATTTCAGGCTGAAATTGAAGGTCTAAAAAATGGCTTCGGCCGGAGGAGCCGAATTAAACGTAAAAGTGGGATTGTGAAATTTTCCCCGTCGTAAAGAATGGCCAATTCTTCGAGGAGTCGCCGACTCGGACCCGGAGGACGACGAAGGACCCTCGATCGTAAAAGAGGATTCGATTCTCATCCCTCAGGTGGGTTTCTCCTCTGGTGAAGGGCTCGGAAGGGTCTCTTGGTTTACTCACGGTGACGGCTCGTCACATCGTGAAAGCTTCCTCCTCTTTTCGGCGAGCTTCCGGATCGGAGCCTGGTCAAGATCCATCTTCGGGGCTCGTCCTGGACTGGAGATTCTGTTAGCCGGTGAATCCCGAGAAGGCTTTCCAACTTCTGGAAAAGAACACTCCATAGTTACCTGTTTTTATCTGTTTTTTTAACAGAGATCCAGGACATTCCCTTTTGGAGATTTCTAGGTAATCATGCATTACGCACCCTTGAAGAATACCATGAAAAATGATTAAAAATCATTTAAGAAACCGTAAGAGTAATTCACGCTATCATCCACTATCTTCTAGGTCGAGATAACTGTCCCGGAGGAAAGACCTTCCCCTAGGATGCACTTGCAGGTGCAGGGGTGCACTCGACCCCGATACCCAGGTCCCCATTGGACGGGATTCGATCCCCCCGAATATTGTATACGGTCCAGAAGGAGGTTTTCGCGAGAAGGGGTGCCCTCGAAACTTTTCAACCCCCGGACGAAATTACCCGTCCTTGCCACTCATCCGGGGGCGAGTCACCCCCGCGAGGGTGGAGGCTGAATTTATTTCCCGCGAAATCGCTTAGCTCCCACTCGGGCCGGCTTTATTCCACCCCGGGGACTCTTCCCCACCTGTGGGGGTGCCGAAGGGTGGCTTCCTTGACCACGACAGGCAGAAAGGATTTCCATCGACCCCTCTTTATGTCCGAAAATCGGGAACGCCTCTCCTCGCGGGGGGTCCTCATATTTCGCTCTTCCCCGCAACGTGACTTCAGCCCCGAAAAATGTATTCATAAACTATTCACTGGAAATTCCGGAAAATCAATATAAATCCTTAATATATACCCAGTAACTCGAAATATCACGATGCGTCAATTTTCTCTCAGCTCGACAAAAGAAAAAAATATGAATTCGGGTACAGAGTTAGTTCCGGAAGTAGACGCAGTTTACATAACCAGGGCCGGAATGTCTGATAAAAAAAGTCTTAGGAAACAATCAGACTCGTCGTTTCTTATTAGGGTAGGCTTCTTGAATATGGTAATTTTATGTGCTAACGAATTAAATTGATAAGCAGATGATAATGTCGATTTTTTTTGGGAGGGTTTCCGCGGATGGTCCGGAGAGACGCGACTCTTGGGGGGATTTGGTTATTTTATGTGCTAACGAATTAAATTGATAAGCGGATGATAATGTCGATTTTTTTGGGAGGGTTTCCACGGATGGGCCGGAGAGACGCGACTCTCGGGGGGATTTGGTAATGGAATTAAATTGATAAGCGGATGATAATGTCGATTTTTCTGGGGAGGGTTTCCGCGGATGGGCCGGAGAGACGCGACTCTCGGGGAGATTTGGTAATTTTATGTGCTAAGGAATTAAATTGATAAGCGGATGATAATGTCGATTTTTTTGGGGGAGGGTTTCCGCGGATGGGCCGGAGAGACGCGACTCTCGGGGGTGGGGGCAAAAATCGGGCGCGGAATTCGTCATCCCCCTTCGGGCCTGCAAGGGGCGACTCGCGTGACGTCTGCCACGAAAAGGGCCGCAGGGGGTGAGGACTGAATAATAAAATCTAATAACCGGGCGAAGCTCGCTCGCGGGGACGGCGGTGGTTACGGTGCCAGGCTGTGCGCCCGAATGGCCCACCATTGCCACCCCACTATGGCTGACCATTAATTTAATTAATGCATCGCCCCCGGCACGCAAACGGCCCGTTTCCGGCCTTTATTTCGCGCCATTTGGATTTTACTCCGAGCCAGGCTCCGGGAGCCCTTTTCCCGAGAGGATTTCACCCGGGCCCATGGGGCTCCATGAGGCCCTCGAAAGATTGTCAGGTCCTGAGGCCTTCTATGTCCATGACCTTTCCATCTCTGCTGATGAACCTCATTTTATTATCCACCACCTGCCCTTAGCTCTCGTCAATTGAAACTTTCATTAAGGGGATGTAAAAGTGGCATCTCAAGAGCCAATCGTTCGTGGCACTTTTTTCCTTACCGTGTACATCGAATCGTTTCCAACTTTAGATTCTTAAATGTAGAGGCTGTAAGGAAGGTCCGGGACACCCATAAAATGTCATGTTTTATAGCAAATTTTTAAAACGTCTATGAAATTAAAAAAAAAATATTAAAATTTCTTGGGCGTCAAGACCTTCTTTATATATTCCTATTTTTATATTGTAAAGTTTGAATCGATTCGGTGCACCCAGGTTGGAGAAGAGTTTCATCGACGAGAACTGTTTGGCACCTTTCACGTCACTTTAATGTCGAGAATGGTAAATCTTTTAGGCACATGATTTTATTCCCCGGGAAATATTCCGATTTATCTCGCCAATCCCGGGCATCAGGAATGTAAAATTCAGGCCGGCCAAAAACGGCGTCGCGAATTGAAATGTCTCTAGGTATATGCCGTCGTTAAACGTCAATCGG